CATGTGCAGGGATGTGTCCGTTGACTTATTTCCCAGTCATCAGCAAGATGCTCCTATAAAGGACAAAAACCCTCCCAAATGTCAACTTTGAGAAAAATCCATCGGGTACATTCTCGGTCCCCACTCATTCTGTTCCAGTTCACTTTTTCTTTCCTCCATCCTTTCCTCTTCCCTTTTTCTCCTGAGAGGGTGAGACAGGCACATGGTGGTTTCCCACAGGAGTTGTTTGGGGCCAGTCTCAGAGTCATATTCTATTCAAATCGGGGGACGCCAGAAACCCTCCAGGTCGCCTCTCTAACCCTGGCCAGCCCAGAAAACTGAGACTCAGGGAGGCCAAGTGACTTACTCAAGTCTGCAGTAGAGCTGGTTTGAGAACCCAAGCCTCCAGACTTCCAGTCCAGGGCTCATTCTAATAAATCAGGTTTTTAGCTTTTGAATGCTCCAGGTGGTAATGCCCCAAGGACCCCAAGCCTGGGACCATAAAGACTTGGAACCCAGCGGAGAGAGTGACCTCTCAGGACCATAGAGACTTGAAGCACAATGGAGAGTGACCTCTCCTGTCCTAGAGCCTTTCCTCAGAGGATAGAGACCCCGTAGGCTGAGGTTGTGGGAGGCGTGAGGGAGGAAGGAAAAACAGGATAATATATAATTGGGGGGGGGGTGCCAAGGGTAGCAAGTGAAAGGATTACCCCAGTCAGCTGACGAGTGCAAATTATATTTATATATGTGCTAAATACAGTCACTATATTGCAGTTTTCCACTAGATCACAGCATACAGAATCAAAGGTTTGCATTTCGTATGGAATGTATCCAAAGAGGCCAGCACCACAGTAGGACAGCTTGCGATCACACACCCTGATAGTTTGGACGAAATAAAGTTCGCGGAATTTTATTTAAATTTTTTTTTTTTGTATTCGTAGTTGTTCGTCGTCGTACTAACGCATGCAAAGCATTCCACTCCCAGAAACAACGCCAAAATGAGGTAATAGGAGTAATAAAAAAAATTAGTATCCTTTCTAAATAAATAAATTATAATTAAAAATGCAAAACAACTATAAAAATAATTAAATAAGAACTCACAATATCTACAAGTTAGTCATAAATTATGATTGTTAAATATAAGGCATTTAAACTCACAAAACCCTGTAAACTAGCAACGTGCCATGGTTTTTTTTTTTTTTTTTTTTCATTTTTTTTTTCTATCGGCTGAAATCGCTCTAGCATTTGCTCTACGCGCGCAGAGATGAAACACGAGGGAGGGGGACCTGACAGACGTTGCTACAGCCCCACGCGGGGAGTGTTTGTCCCGCCTGGAGGCGGGGGGTTTGGGGGGATTTCTTCAGAAAAAAAAAAAAAAAAGTCTGGTGCTTTTTCTTCACCATTGAAAAAACTGTGCTTGTTTGTTCATTAGGCGTAAAGAGTTAAGAATACTTGCACGGAGGCTGGGAACATTTGCAGGAAAGGAGCTTGAGTCCTGCCACAGGCGGTGGGCAGAGCTGAAGGGGCCGGAGAGGGTCCTGGCTGGATGGGGGAGTCCCTCGGACCCTGCCCGGTCCGCTGCCTGTCGTGGCGTTGGTTTGATTGTTGGCGTCCTCGTGGGCCGGCTGCGGCTGCTGCAGTGGCTGCGGCTGCGGCTAGGAGGCCCACTTTGAATCCTGGGGCAGCTCTTGCCCCAGAAGGCACTCATGCGTCTCAGTCAAGAAAGGGTCTGAGTCCCTTGAGTTGAGCAGAAAGAGGACTACAGTGGGTGGTTTTCCCTCCTGGGGTGGTGGATATGAGATGCTGAGGCATGATCCTGCCTCTTCTCCTTCTCCCCAGGATTTCTCATTGGTCAAACTGGGAGACCCTGGGGAAACAGAAGCAAAGATCTCTCTTCTCTTCTCACCCAATTGGCTGCCTGGCTAAGAAAGCCAGGAGCTGGGAGGACTCTGAGTCCACATCACTTCCTGTTTCTACCTACAGGTACAAGGGCCCCAGGGAGATGGGAAGGAGAGCAGGGCTTCAGGATCTACCCTGAATGTAAGCAGTTTACCTCTCCCCTTTGGGTAATCCCCACCCCAGTCCCTAATATTAGCCTAGGGCACACAGAGAGTTTGTAGAGAACTGAGAGGGAGAAGGGGACAAAGTCCCACTCCCTCACTTAGCACTTGTGCCCTCAGCCTCTGAAACAGATGTTCCTGCTCACAGAAGGTCATAGCCAGCAGCTCAGTTGGCACACAGCTCTTGTGTGCCAACTTGGAAGGAGATGTGTTGATGTTAAGGAGGACCACAGAATGTGAGTGTTGGAAAGAAATTTAGCAAGCATCCAATCCAACATCCTTGTGTTACAGCTGAGGAAACTGAGGCCCAGAGGGAAGAAGGGGGTTTCTACAACGGCACACTTCATCAGTGAAGAGACAACACTGGCACCCAGGTCTTCAGCTCTAATTCCATCCCGGCCTCCCCCACTGACTCCCTTCTACCTGCTAGCCTTTCAAAGCAAGCTCAGAAGGGAGAACAAAAGACTGAGACTAAGAGAGGAACGACCTTCCATAGACCACCCCAGCTACCTCCAGGCCAAAGCCATCTTCTGATGGAATGCTTGGTTTTGACTCAGCCACTGGGGAGGATGAGGGAGGATTCCCAACTTCCTGTGGCGATTAGTAACTAGCTTTCCCCAAAATTCTGACTCAGATGTACTTTCCCTCCTGGTAGGATGTCCAGCCTTTAGCTCTGGAGACAAGTTCATGTACTGGAATCATTGAATTGGACAATGTAATGCTCATTGCAGTTAACCCTAAATCTTAAAATTATTCACCATTTTTGCACTATGGTATATGTCTCGTCTCCTCTGCAAGACTGTACCATCCTCAAGGCAGGGACACTGTCTTCTTCACTATTGTCTGTCTCAGCACCTCCACCGATAGGCACTCAATAAAGATTTTATAGAACACCAGGATATCACCGCTGGAAGAGACCTTAGTCTTTGAGTAAGGTTCTTGAGTAAAGCTGCCAGCACTCACTGACTGCAGTTGTCCAGAGCAGTCATTCCTTCACTGGATAGCTCCAGAGGTGTTAGAAAACTTTACATCAAGCCAAAGTTGGCCTCCTCGTCACTTTGACCCATTGGTCCTGGTTTGTTTTTGTTGTTAGTTACCATCAAGTCAATTCTAACTCATGGCAACCTCTGCAGCAGCAATACAGACTCAAATTTCCTTCATCTTATAGAAGTTCTTCATATATGTGATGGTAAGACACAGGAGTGTCCCCCTTGGTCTTCTCTTGTTCATAAAAGGGCATTGAAACTGGGGTAAAGGTTGAGATTAAGGGGGAGGGGCTTTTAGAGCAGTGCAAATGACGGGGGAAGAGGGTGAGGGACAAAGGAAGATAGCAGAATTCCAGCTGACCTAGTGTGTTCCACATATGGATAAAGAAAGTTGGGTTTAGGATAGAACTTGGTGGATTTTCCCATCTCCATCCTCTTGCCCTCCCATCTCTCTGATCTCTCTGGGGTTCAGGGAACTTGTGGGGTTGTGCAGAAAGACATTGTATGGTGACATTTGGAACTTCCAGGTCTGTCTCTACTACCATACCCGGTCCCTAAATCCCAAAGAGATTCCTAGGAGAGAGCATAGAGCTCATTGGACAGATGGTGTTAATCCTCATAACATGTAGATAAGGTAGAGGGAATGAAAAGGGGGATGCACTGCTATTTCTCTCCATTCTAAGGAGAAGGAAACTGAGGCACAGAGAAAGAAAGAGACTTTCCCAAGGTAATCAAAGAGTCAGAGAAAGAACCAGAGGCTAGAGATACAGAGTCTTCCAGACCCAGCCAATGTGGTCTCGGTGTTCTGAGGGACTGCATCAGGACCTGAGACATCCAAAGGATGTTCAGGGTCCTCCTCAACATTCACGATGCGTGGTCTCAGCCCCTGAGTGCTAGCTGAGAGCACTTCGGCCAAGACCATTCATCACCTATGTTATCTATTGTCATCATCTGGTAAACTTTTTGCATAGGGAGGCAGTGGCTAAATTGCCTCTCTGTGACAGGGCATGAGCACAGCAGAAAGGAAGAAGGTGGCATGAGCATGGGCATCCTGGCTGCGAGGAACTCAGGGGGCAGTTGTAGCTGAAGGCTGGTCCCTCTCTGGCTCAGTGGGAATGGGGGTTAGCTGAAGCCAAGCAGATGAGCCCTGGAACTGGGGAGTCCTCTCTCTAAGTAGAACTCCCCCCTTCACCTACTCCAACTCTACATTCCCAACCTCGGCTAAGTCCCTCAGAGGCCTGGATAAGACCTCCATCCACTCCTTTTCCAGACCTCTTTTTCCCCAAATGCCCCCTGCCACATTCCGTGCACTGTAAACATGAGAAAAACAAAAGCAAAGGTAGAAAAAAAACACATACACACAAAAAACGAAAACCCCCCCTCCCGCCTCCTAACCTGGGTGAAAAAAAAAATCATCCTTTTTCACCGTAAACAGGATTTGGCTTTTTTTTTTTCGCTTTTGATTTTTTTTTTCCTTTTCTCTCATAAAGACAGGGAGATTTGGGCTGTCGTTGATTGGTTCAGTCAGGCACCAAAACAAGGAACTCAATGAGAAATATTTGGTGCGAATTCGGTAATAGCGACATATCCACCACAGATGACTGGAGCACCACACACAACATTTGTCTTAAGCTAACATGCTCTGGCTGCCATCCACAGAAATAGCTAGAGACCCCTACATGGTTTCTACATGGTCGAGAGGTATATATACAATCCTTCAAAGGACAGGATTGAGGGGCCGGTCTATCAGCTAGAACTTTCAGGATCACATCAACACTCTCAGCAGCGTGGGCGCCCCCTTCCCACCCCTGCTCTGGGCACGGCCAGCTCCCTCCCTCCCGTGCAGCAAGGTGGATGGGGGCAGTCACCATTCTACATGGGTAGGTGCTTCCCCCACCCCCTGCTTTCCCTCAGACACTGATACCACCAACTCCTTTTTCCACAAAATGTGCTTGCAGGCTTTTCCTCTACATCAAATGGCTCAGAAGGCAAAGTTTGGCTGCAAGGGCTATGGCCGTGGGGGGACCTGGTGAAGGAAAATGGGGCGTTCACTGGCTAACTCCTCCCTCAGCTGTCGGCTCCCAGTTGTGTCTCAATGTCCACTCGGCAGATGGGGCATTTCTTGCTCATGGCGAGCCACTGGTCCACGCACAGTTGGTGAAAGAGATGCATACAGGGTAAGCGTCTGGAAGAGAGGAGGGAGGGTCAGAGGACTGATGGGGAAGAAGGGGGCTTCACCAGGAGCTGAGAGTGGGCAAAGGGTAGGCTACTGAGGGGACCAGGATACACACCCATGACCACTGGAGAATTGGCCAAAGAGGGCCTTAGGAGGCCTTGTGGCCAAGGTGGGAAAGCAACGCAGGAAGTGGCACTCAAAGCCCTCTTTCTCCATGGAGTCCTTTCTGATCAACCTGAAGCAAACCTTGACTTTGTCCCAGACCCATCCAAGGCAACATCACACTGTTCTCTTACACTTTGCATCCACCAATCATACCCATGGGCACCACACATCTAGAATACTCCACACCCCACCTTCATAGGGCAACCTACTGCACACTGGACACACTCACATGCACAAGCAAGCAAACTCCCCTCCCTACCCCCAGACACCAATACCCAAGAGACAAGGGAGAGGAAATCAAAGAGGTTGGCCTCCTACCTCACATCTTCTCCATCTTCGAGCATAGATAGACAAATTGTGCATTTCTCATCTGTGTCGGACTCCTCCCCCTCTTCCTTCTTGCCCTTGCCATCCTGGGGTCTTCGCTATGAGAAGCAGAGAGAGAAGTGGACTCACCTGGTGGCCATTGTCTTTCATACACAGGCTCTGTGCAGTCCCCTCTTTCTCTCGTGAGTCTACTTCCTTTTAAGCCCCTAAGTAAAACCCAGACTTCTGCCATCTTCCCTGCCCCTTCTCCCTGCCTTCTCCCCAAGTCCTACCCCTTGCTTCGCGATAGACAGGGTTAAAGTCAAGTGAGGAAGAGACAAGTACGCTTTATTTTTGCTGTCCCAGGCAATTTCTAGGGGCGTGGGATTTGGAAAGGAATTGGGCACCCAATGAAGCAATCCTTTGCAAAGCTATGGCTTGCGCATAAAGAGCTTCCCCCTTTCTGTTCCTCGCTTGCTGTCCACTCCTCCTTACATTGTTTCCATCCTGGATCCCTGCCTCCAGGCTTCTCTCTCCACTTTCAGGTCCAGCATGCTTCATTCATTCATTCATTCACCCTACATTCAACTAATGTTAATTCATTTATTTATTCATTACTAGATGAAAGCAATGGGCTCAAACATAGCAACAATTGTGAGGGTGATGCAGGACCATTTAGTTCTGTAATATATAAGGTTGCTTTGAGTCAAAGCTGAATCGATGTCACCTATCACAACAAAAGTAAGACGAAGGCAAAACGCCTCAGCCTGGCACTAACTTCTGTAATTTGTACCACGCTATTATGAACTGTCTTATATTGTTGGATTTCTCTTCCTATCCAGAAAGTTCCTCCAACGTAGGTATCATGTAGGCACGCTGTTTATACTTGCTGGTTTTAATTGTCCTGTTTTTTATTATGTGCTAATTATTTGAAAATAGTTAACCCCTGTGTAGAAAGTTCTAAGTTCTTAGATAGGGTGGACTGTGTCTTATATCACACTTGGCCAAGTACGATGCACATTATTGGTGCTTAATAAATAATCTGGGGAGGAAGGAATCTAATCAGTGAATGAAATCAGCCCATCTTTTGAGTTCCCATCTCCACAGAGTGCAGTGAAACGGTCTGCCGCTGATAATACCCATGGGAAGAAAACTGTCCATTCTGTGCCCTCTCCAGGGATGAGCCCACTTAAAGGTCATTTTTGCGAAGAGAAAAATCTGAAGCACCCAGAGAATGACCTTGGGGCTAGGCCCAGATGCCAGGTCTCCCAGTTCTGGTTCCGGGTCCTAAACTCTGGGGGATTCCTAATCTGATTTAGCCTGGGAAATCCTGTAACCTCACTGGAACATACGAGAACATCTATTCCTCCTGCTGTCAGCCTTGCTGTGCTCTATACACTCCACCGTGAACCATGCTAGGCTTCTGAAATAAGTTTCCACCTCTTAAGAATCAAAAACAAAACAAAACAAAACAAAACAGAATCACATCCACAAACCAAAAAAAAACCCAAACCCCTTGCTGTCGAGTCAATTCTGACTCATAGTGACCCTGTAGGACAGAGTAAAACTGCCCCATAGGGCTTCCAAGGAGCAGCTGGTAGATTCCAGCTGCCGACCTTTTGGCTTGCAGCCTAAGCTCTTAACCACGGTCCCATATAATTGTCCTGGCTTTTGAGTATGAGCAGAGTCATGACGATCTATCTGCTTTAAGAACCCAGCTGTATTTGCTTGAAGAAGTGGCCTTCTTTTAACTGGCCCTGCTAGACAAGATGAACGTCCAATAAATAAGATAGCATTAAGATTCAACTACTTGCCTATTTTCTATTGTGTTTTTTCCATGGTATATTTTTTTCATGATTGATGATTTTCTGTTTATAGTTAATAATTTTAGCTTAATAGTCTTACCTTGTTTTACTAAGTCTAATTTATATTTCTTTAAATTATTCTCCCTTTTCAAATCTTCTCCTCTTTCCTATTTGGGATTTCTAATCTTTTAGATCTTCCGGTTTTTAATCTTTTCTTTTCATTATCTGAAAGTTGGACTTCTCGTGATCTGAAATTGGACTTGGAATTATTTTCTGAGGCATATCCAGCTCCTTCAGATAGAAACATGTATTTGCCGGTACACACACATGTGTACACATACATCATATTCCCTCTCACAAGTCCGTAAGCATGCACACATACTCAGCCCTTCTTCTTTACTGATGGGAAGCCCCCCATCTCCCCTCCTGATTACCCTCTGGCAGAGGCAAGTGAGAAGACCCCCAAGAAGGCATCACAGCTTCAGAGCATCTAACCTGAGCAAAGGCTTCTAGGTTTTGGGCTGTGCCTCTGTGTCAGACAGCCAGGCCTGGGTCAGTTAGAAACCTCCCAAGCCCCTGACCGTGCAGGCTGGCCTGCTGGCCAACTCACCTTCTTGTACTTGTGGGGGAAGGTGAACCTCTCAATGGTGTTCTGCACAGCTCCCCGAGTCACGTTTCCCAACCTGTCCTCGAGCTGCAGCAGCTCCTGCAGAGAGACAAGTTTGGACATGTTGTGTATTCAGCACACGCAAGCGCACACATACGCACACCACAAGGAGGAAGATCCCTGAAAGGTCGAGCAGGAAGCATTCACTTAAGCCATCAGGAAGAACTCTTCTGACGCTGGAAAACTGCAACACCTCTACTCTCTCTCTCTCTTACTCCCATCCCTGGAGACTCTCCACCACCCACCCCCTACCTGCAGAGGGGAGGGAGAAGAGGTAATGACAGTATGGCATCTCCACCAACCGAGTTGGTGCCGGACTGGCAGGAGGATTCCTGGACAGAGGACGTACCTCGTAGCTCTCCCGCACGGCAGAGGTGTGTCTGCTGGGGTTCAGTCCCTGGAGAGCCAGGAAGTGGAGCTGAGGGTAAGGATAGTTGCGAATTTCATGAACAACCTGTTGGGAAGAAAATGTCTTGGATGGAGTGAGAAGTCAAGGCTGCTCGATGAGCCCAGGTAGCTGCTTCCTCCTCCCGGCCCCGCCAGCCTGCACACCCGAGAGCTGTGGGCAGAGGCACAGTCTTTTCCTCCTCTGTTCCCTCTCTCCTCATCAAGAGCCAAGCTGTGCCTGGACCAGCCCCAGGCACAATAAAATAACAACTGACCCTGACTGGGCGTTTACTTCATGGCAGGCACTGTTCTAAGCATTTCACATGACTGACTAATTTAATGATCTCACCTGATCTATAGTGTGGGGCAATTGTCGTTGTTAAGTGCCCTCTAGTCGACCCCGACTCATAGTGACCTTACGTATAGCAGAACAAAACCTTGCCCGGTCCTGCGCCATCCTCACAATAGTAGGTATATTTGAGCCCATTGTTGCAGCCACTGTATCAACCCATCTCTTTTTCGCTGACCCTCTACTTTTTCAAGCATGATGTCTTTCTCCAGCAATGGAGTACAGTTATTATACCCATTTTACTGGTGGGGTGAGACAGAGATAGATGAAGTAACTGACCCAAAGTTATACCATCAAATGGCAGAAGCAGGATTTTAAACCCAGGTAGTTGGGACTCAGAGTCCACGCCCCTAATCTGCCTCAGAATGCAGCCCAGAGGTTAAGAGCTTGAGCCAGAACTAGGGTAAGGGAAGTGAGGCACCTACCTTAGGCCCAAAATTTAAGGGGGCACCAGAAAGCTCAGTAATCAAGATAAATAGTATTTTAATGAAATGTTTCCAAAAAAAAAAGAAACAAGACTAATGAGAGAAAAAAAAAACCATGATACGGAAAATAACAAATTGTTAAATAAAGACAGGCTCTGACCCTACGCTTGCAATGGCCCTGCGTCACTCACCTCACCCTAACCTCCAGCTATGAGTCAGGGGGGTTTCCATGATAGCGCCTCAGCTTACTCACTGTGTGACCCTGGGCCAGTCATTTAACTCTATGTCTCAGTTTGCCAATCTGTAAAATAACGATAATACCTTTTCTTGTAGGTATTGAGAGATATTGGAACAGTGCCTGCTATGTAGTTAAGTGTTCAATAATGTTAGCCTCTTTTATTCTTAGGAGATGGTGCTTCATAGGGCACACCACAGAACATCAAAGGACTTCTGAGATTACTTGTCCAAGCCTTGTATTATACAAATAAGGAAACTGAGGGACTCCATGGTTAAATGAGACAGACAAGGGCTGGAGGGTAGAATTACGTTTTAGGGCAGCAACATTAAGCTGTTTGGAAATCAGAAGATTTTCAATCAAACACCCCTTTGCTGCTTTAGTGGGATATCTTCACTTTAATTCCATACAGCTTGCAACGCCAGGAACTCGAAGGCCCCCAAACACTCTGCAGTAATGAGAAGGTCTGCTCTCTGTGGAAGGCAGAACTGGATGTGCAGGCGGCCCCAGGAACCTCTGGGATCTCTCTGACCCTCACACCAGTGAGATGAGCGAGGCTGGCATCTTCATTCCCATTTCACAGAAAAGAAGGGCACTGACCCCAGAAATTAACTAAATGAGGCCCTAGAAGATACAGGGACACGCCTGCCCGGTCTTAGCCCTGAGCCTTTTCCCCACGAACCACAGCCTGCCATGCAAGCCGCCCCTCTCCACGCCTCTGATGTCTGACTCCTCCTCCTTTCAAGAGTACCAGCTTCTGGTCCATCAGGTTCCCTTTCTTTCCACCTCAAGCCAGAGTGGACAGGGGAGCTGGGAGGGGAGCGGAGCAGTTGGCCTGCCTGGGAGCCAGGACACAGGGGAGCCGCAGTCCTCGGCCCACCGTGGGCACCAGCAGCAGCAGGGAGTCACTTCCTGGCAGAGCCCGTTCACTCACCATCTGCGTGGAGGAGGAGTTTCTGGGAAAGTGGTGCATTCGAGGAGTCGCTAGGTAATGCTGATAGTGCTGAGGGATGGGCCGCACCTGGAACTGGGCAGGACTCAAGCCGGCATCCACGCTGAGATCCCTACAGGGACACAAGGCACAGTGAGCCCCAGGGCCATGAGAGTCAGCCACCAAGTCACAGAAGGGCCCTCCGACATCAAGTCCATCCAGTAGAATCAGAGTCACAAACTGCCAGCGCTACAAGGGACTTTAGATCACAGCCCTTCCCCTCTCCTTATACTAAGAAATCCGAGGTTGCGAAGGAAAGGGCTCAGCAAGGTCTGAAGGAGCTAGAGCTGTCTAAAAGAAAGCCACTGTCATTGAACTGACTCAGACTCAAGGCAACCTTATGTGTGTCAGAAAAGAACTGTGCTCCACAGGGGTTTCAATGGCTGATTTTTTTGGAAGTAGATTGCCAGGCCTTTCTTCTGAGGTGCCTCGGGGTGAAATCGAACCTCCAACCTTTAGGTTAGCAGCTGAGCACATTAATCATTTGCACCACCCAGGGACTCCATCTAGGCCCTATAAAACTTATTGAAACTAACAAATTTAGTCAGTCTGAGAGAAAGGCTGAAAGAAGATGCCAAATAGAAGAGTCCAGGGGAATAGAGCAAAGGAAAGACAAGGTCCAGATAAAAGTGGAGGAGGGGGCAGAGGCCATATTTTTCACTAAAGGAAAAAACAACCAAAGAGAGACCTTGACAGTTGTGAAGCTAGAAAAGCTCTCCCAGGCCACCCACCCCTCCGAAAATTATAGGAATACTCATTTCACTTACAAATATAAGTTAAATTTATACACACCTACGACATAGCCACAAATAAAAAATAAATAAATGCAATGGAAAGGAACCCAGGGCTGCTTAGAAAACGGCTAATCTCAGGTCTGAGGCAGAAAACGTACGTGTGAATTTGAAACATATTGTCATAACCAAAAGCAAGGATGCTATCTAAAGACCATCAAGGTCATATCAAAAGACTGAGGAACAATCCTGAAGAAGCTCCCATGGGCCAGAGTTGGTACAATTTGCATTTCAATGAGCGTAACTGCAAGATTGAAGCACATCCAATATGTTTAAATCCATGACAGGGAGATGATGCTAAAGAAAATTGGTCACCCTTTAAAGAACGCTAGGGAACCAACTCTTTACCTTGAACACTACTAAATAAAGGGAAAGAACCAAGAATTTATCCTGACTTTCCTCTATTAACTGTACTTCAGAGTAACCAAATAGTTGATGAGGGGAAATTTCTGTTTATAAAAATACTCCAGCTAACAAATGAATAGGGAAGATTGAATTATTTGTCACCATTTTGCATCCCCTAAAGAAATAAAGGATCTAGGCAAAAATCATCAACAGCTGCTAATACCACATAAAGGGAGACAAGCAGACATTAAGTGCTTTCCGGTGCAAGAATACAAAGCTACCTATAATGTATTTTTACCAAGAAGTAAAATTTGAACGTAAAGCTGATCGAGCCAATGTAAAGGAAGTATAGGAAACTGAGGCAGATCCAGATGATGGGAAACTCTGCAGGAAGTATAGCCTAGTTTCTTCAACAAATAAATTCAAACAAATAAATGAATAGTGGTGACGGTTGATGGATGTAAATAAAGTCTCTGTATTGTACATGCAAACTGTTGATATGGCAAATGTTTTGTTATGTATATACTTACCAGAGTAAAAATAAAATCTCAAAAAAACATATGGAGGAGAATTAAAAGAATTTCTGCTTCCGGCTATGATAGAGTAACAGGAATCAGATTTCCTTTTCTACTGGAAACCACAAGAAAACTAGACAAAATATATGACAAAACTCTTTTCAGACATTGGGCAACAGGCATGCAGAGCTGTGATCCCTGGGAAAAGGGAAACAAGCAAGGTGAGCCCTACAGCTTCCCTGGCTTTTTCTTGCAGATGTAGCCCAGACCATGGAGCAGGGAGGGGGACCCCTAGCAGGGCACAGTGGTCTTGATGAGTTGATGATTTACAGAATATGAGGTCTCTGAAATTTGCAGTTATGTTCATTGATACGCAAATTGCCCGAAAAGTTTTGGAGAGGAGGAAGCTACATAGAATGAGAGCTCCAGGAATCTGCAGAGGGATCCCCTTGAATCTTTGCTGAATATGAAGATGAGCATGCATGGGGTGAGATTCCAACAGATCAAGCAAAGAGCAACCAAGGAACAGCAAATGGATCCCAGAGCTTAGCAGGGCTGAGAAGCATTTGCGTTCTGAACAACCAGAGCAGAGAGACCCTGTTGATCACTCAGGACATTCAGCAAAGACCCAGGCAGAGCTTTTTCTTTTTTAAATTTATTTTTTTTATTGTACTTTAGGTGAAGGTTTACAGAACAAATATTTTCTCATTAAACAGTCAGTACACATATTGTTTTATGACGTTGGTTAACAACCCCATGACATGTCAACATGTCTCAGCCTTAGAGGACCTTTGTTCTTTTTTTTTTTTGGTGAAAATATACATGGCCAAAGTTACACCATTTCAAAATTTTCCACATGTACAATTCAGTGATGTCGATTACATTTTTCCAGTTGTGCTGCTATTCTTACTTTAGATGAAGTTTTACAGGACAAAATAGTTTCTCAATAAACAGTTAGTACACATATTGCCCTATGACAATGGTTAAGAAACCCACTACATGTCAACACCATCCTTAATCAACCTTGGGTTCCCTATCATCAGCTTTCCTGTCCCCTTCTGCCTTCTAGTCCTTG